CACCAAATAACCCGAAACAGGCCTGTGACCGCAAGCCCAACAAACCAGTCCGGCACTAGAAAAGGCCTCGCCGAAAATGTTACCGGCCCAATTTCGTGTCACAAAAACGGTACCAGTATCAATTTTTCCACAAAATCGGCCCGCTATGTCAGTTGGCTGCACATGCGACATACCACCTGTTCTGCTCTGCAGTGCCGGGCCATTATGCGCCCGCAACCCAACGCCCAGCACCCAGCGACATTGCAAGCGCCCACCGGCATAGCCCCGCGCCCGGCGCCATTGGCCAGCTCCACAGCCCAGTGCCCACCGCCATTTCGCCGTAGCTCACCGCCCGGCGCCATTGGCCAGCATCATAGCCCATTGCCCACCGTTCGCTTGACAGGTACTCTCTATTTGAGTCGGGTGGGACTTTCGAGGTTAGATACCTTCGCAGATGGTATCCTAAAGCGGGTAAGTATAAACCTACCCTGGTCGCCCTCCTAAAGAACCCGAGGAAGTTGGAGGAGTTCCGCTCTTGGACTTTGGAAGAGTTAGATGGTTTGTTTGGGGCAACGAAAGACTTCGAGCGACTGTCCACGCAAGCATATCTGAGACGCCTTCTGTCACGCGTCATTCGGGATGGTTTTGGATTCAACATGAATGCAACGTTAGTCGTTAGATTGGTGTATGACGACAGAGTGAAGTTGTGTGAAGTTAGGAAGCTCGTTAACGACAAGTTGGACAAGTGTGAACTTCCACTCTGCATTATCCGCAGGACACATGCAACTGTTCACATCATCTGGACTAAAAACCCAGGAGTTGCCGAACTGATACATAACCAGCGTGTCTTCGCTCGGGCGGATGTATTAGCCTGCTCTTGCGCAGGCTTTCCTTACCCAGGGTAAGAGGGCACGTTCGATGCAGATTGCAGGAGGTTGAAGGAATCCCTAGTCTGGCTTTGAATGCCAACAACGTTCCGTTGGCTCGAATGGATGATCGATTGGGACATTTGTGTGCCGAGATCTCSGATGGTTTCTGGAATTGGACTAACGGTAAGGGCATGTTGATTAGCTGCTCGAGATCTGAGGTTGTGTCATGTATTCAGTCTGTGACTGACGAYAGGGGTTTTCTTGACAAACGGGATGTTTTGGAGTTGAGGTCGAGATTCGAGGGACTTGTTCTCACGCCCTTGGACCGGAACCCTGGTGAAACACTGCTCATCTGTCCGGCGTTGTATTACCAGGGTATGTTCGATCTATTTTTACGGAATGACAGCTATATTCCTATCCTGGGTACSGGRGCYGATGCTTTGGCCGCCCTGAGACTGGCGTTGAAAGATGAAGGGCTGTCGGCGTTCGCAAAGTGGGATACGAAAGGGGAGATAGGTAAGGCCTATGCTCTGCCGAAGCACAAGGACCTTGATAGGTACAGACCGATATGCCCTACTTTTTCAGAACCAACAACACGTACGTGCAAGGCGGTGGCGAAGGGACTGAACCATCTCCTCTTCTCATTGCCTCAAGATCTGCATTTCAACCTCAAAGCTGTCTCTGACCTGACGGGGCGACTCGAAAACGTCAACAAGAAATGYACTCGACTGGGTCTGAATAGACAACTGACTGGACGTTCCTATGATATTAAAGATATGTTTAATCGTTTGCCGCATACTGAGATCTTGACTGCACTCGAGTGGATCATCACCTGGCACAAAGAGAAAGGGAGAAAGTCGGTGAGAGTCAACGCWAGGGGACGTGGCTCTACCTTTGGAGTGACAACAGGACAGGATCATTGGCGTTGCCTCGATTTTGATGATTTGTTTAAGTTTGTTCGTTTGGAGCTTGCACACACCTACACCTTTGCTTTGGATGTTCTGCTGCAACAATGGGTTGGGATCCTGATGGGCAAAAGTACAAGCCCACCTTTGGCCTGTATCCTTTGTGCCCATGCAGAATATAAGTTTCTGTGCAKCCTGGGAACCAAAAGGCAGAGAGTATTTGGTGTGCGGTTAGTAGATGATGTAAGGTTGATAGTTGCGAAGAAGAATCAGGCTGATTTGGAACTTGAGGAGATCTGGACCAAGTTTGAACAGTGCTATCCRGAGAATCTGTCACTAAAACGGACTGACGAGGGGACCGGCCGTTGGGACTTTCTAGGCTGCGAAGTGAAGATCGACTCCCAGATGAGTYGTGTTGTGAGTGTGCAACTCACTAAGAATCACAAGACTTTGTGGGAAACGGAAACCCTGGAATTCAAAAACGGTCAGTCATACAAGTTCTGGGGAAACAAATCCCAGAAGAGTGCTGCGATTGCTGGGGACCTGCATCGTATCGACAAGAATACGTGGGCAAGATGGGAGATTCCCCGCCAGGCGAACTGTCTTTGCCAAGAGCTCAGGATTAAGGGGGTTCCGAGATAATTCTTCTGGCGTGTTCTTCAACGATTCAGCAGAGGTAAACCGGAACCGTGGGGTTACGTCTGCAGAAGTTATGAAGGACACATTTGAGTGATAGGCTCGACGGCGAGGAAGGGTAGTCGATATCCATCACACTGTGAGATTTGTAGTGGTTTTTGTTTTGAATTTGGACAGGGCATGTTTCCTTGGCCGTTTGTCTGTTTTTTTCGTTTGCTGTAGTTGTTTGACTGTTTGATTCGTGAGGCTTGTTGTGTACCATAGAGACCGTGTGGCTTGGTCTGTGAATTTCTTGCTTTTTCGTTGTTTTTTAGAATAGCCGAAGGAACCGGACACCACGTTCGATCGCGTGGTCGCGGAGACGTTGCGCTTGGCAAGCAAATGCGTCGTAGAGGAGCACGATTCACGGCCGAAGATGAGCTTATTAGCCACGACGATCGACGGTCTGATTAACGATGCGAAAATAGGTTGAGGATACAACTGGCGATAGAGTCGAGTTATGGACGGGGGAGGAGAGGCGGCGCATCAGGGTTGAAGGGCTCTGCCTTCTATTGCTGAATCGATGCTGATGACTCTGATGAGAAGAGAACAGGAAGATAGTGCAACGACATGTGACTATGCCTGTCGAAAGCGGATGGAGCTGACGTGTTACAGGACCAGGGGGGCGAATGAGTTAGCAAGACGATGGAAGCGACTGAGCTCGAGGGATGCCGGATATGTTGGAGCAATCAGGCGACGTTGACAATGGAAGGGGCCGTTGAGGAAGGGGTGTAAGTGAAGAAAAGGACGGGTGGGTGATTGGCTGATGGGGGTAAGATGTCACAGACCGAGGGGGTAGAATGATCGGACATGATGACGGAGGGCGGTTGAGCTCCTGAGATGGTGGAAGCTATGGAGGAATTGCCCAACGCTGGGAATGAAAGGATCCGCTGATCTCCTCCTGGGACACTGGTAAGGAGAAAGGGGTGAAGAGAGGAGCGGATGGATGATTGACTGACATGGATGGACAGTTCAAAGCGAGCTGGGTCGAGAGGCGTTTCTTTCTCTTCGTTATTCTCTTTTTTGAGATACAGCAATGGGGGATCAAGGCCATTGATCGTACTCATATTTTTTGGGTGGTTTCGGTCCCTTAACGGTGGGGGGGGGGGGNGAGAGAGAGAGAGAGAGAGAGAGAGAGAGAGAGAGAGAGAGAGAGAGAGAGAGAGAGAGAGAGAGAGAGGTGGATGGACATCCCGTCAATAAAGCGGGATGTTGGGCTCATTGGGGCGCGTTCTCTAGTTCTCCTTCTCCTTCTCCTCGAAGTCCGTATAACGCAGACGCTCCCTCCTCAATCCCCCCTCTTCCTGGGGCGCGTTCTCTACTTCTCCTTCTCCCCGAAGTCCGTATAACGCAGACGCTCCCTCCTCAATCAGCCCTCCTCCGTCGCAAACGGAATTAGAGGCAGAAGCAGGAGGAATGAGGGATGACGTGTTCGTGTACGGAGGAGGAGAAGAAGAAACTGACGAGGACGTTGCTGAATGAGAGGGAGGAGCAGGGGGAGATGAAGAGACTGAATTGGAGGGAGGAGCCGGAGGAGCCGGAGTAGACGAAGAGACGGAATAAGAGGGAGGAGCAGGAGGAGACGAAGAGACAGAAAATGAGGGAGGGGCAGGAGTAATTGAAGAGACCGGAGAAGAGTGAGGGGCAGGAGGAGACGACGAGAACGAAGAAGAGGGAGGAGGAAGAGGAGATGAAGAGACTGAATCCACAAAATCCGTTACCCTCTTGCCATCGCACCCTCCTGGACTACTGGCCCA